TTTAAAGGTAAAACCGTTTCCCCACATAGCAAGTACGTCACAATATGTGTCTCGGCTTTCTCCCCAACGGGGACCCAAAGTGACCGACACCCTTCTCCTCTCCTCCATTTCATCCTCACAACAACCCTGTGAGGTAGGTTAGGCTGAGAGTTATATGACTGGCCGAGGGGGGGATTCGAACCCGGGTCTCCCAGATCCCAGTCCCACACCCTTAACCACTACACCACGCTGAATTGTGCTGTAAGAGCATTAGAAGAAGCAGAAGGAAGAGCACACGTGAATAAAAAGCTCACGCCCCTTGTTCCAAACCCATACTTGGGGTTGCGTCTGGACCAGCCCTTTCGTCGCGTGCTCCCAACCGCCAGGCTTAGAAATGGGCAAAGTGACTGGCAGTCTGCAGAGGTTTCTCCCCCCCCCGGATCGTTGAGCCGCTTCGGCTCTGCCGTTTTGCTTTCCTGACCCTCCCCCCCCAGTTGCTTTCCTGCTAGACAGGGAGCCGTTTCAGCTGCTATTTCTGGCTCTTTATAGCGCCCGGGATATTTTGGTGTTCACTCGACCGAGAGCTTACGGCGCTTTCTTAGATTGCTTCGATTCTCCTTGGCGTCGTTTAAGGCTCCCTGGGAATTATCGCAATATTTTAAACAATGCCGACTCAGCATTTCGTTTTGTGAGCCGGTGTAGCGTGCAGTTCTCAGGTAGCTTCCATGTGGAGGTTTGGCTCCATGCCCCCCCCCGCCCCCACCAATGGCAGCTCATTGTTTTTGGGGGGAGTGTCTTCCAGGGCTATTTTTGGGCAGGAACACACAGGAACGGAGTTCCGGCTAGCTCCCAAATTGGCCACGCCCAGCAGGAACTCATTAGCATAATAGGCCACACCCAACAGCAGAAACTCATTAGGATTGGCTACATTAGGGATGTGTAGCCTAACATGCAAAGGAGTTCCTGCTACAAAAAAAGGCCCTGGGTTTTGACAACAAGCAAGGTAAACAGAATAAGAAGCAAAAGGTGGGTGTGGCTGGATGACCACACTTCTGGTGTGGGTGTGGCCTAATGTGCTGGCATCTAGTACCATTTTCTCCCTACCACTTCCTGCCAATTAATTTTTTCAATCAGTGGTAGATAGATCACTGTGACACCACAGCGAAAAGGCGAATGGGCAAAGCCTAGGGGAAAACTTCCCTGTGTAGAGGCTCCGTTGCCCCAGTGAATGACGGTTTGTTCGCAGCTGCAATGGGAATATAGTAAGAACATAAGAATATCAGAAGAGCTCGCAGGATCAGACCAGTGAGGGTCCATCTAGTCCAGCATCCTGTCTCACACAGGAGCCAACCAGTTCCTCTGGAAGGCCAACAACAGGGCAGGGAGGCAGGGACCTTCACAAGAACCTCAGAAGAGCCCTGCTAGATCAGACCAGTGAGGGTCCATCTATTCCGGCATCCCGTCTCCCACAGTGGCCAACCGGTTCCTCTGGAGGGCCAACAACAGGGCAGAGAGGCCAAGGCCTTCCTAAGAACATCAGAAAAGCCCTGCTGGATCAGACCAGTGAGGGTCCATCTAGTCCAACATCCTGTCTCACACAGTGGCCAGCCACTTCCTCTGGAGGGCCAACAACAGAAAACAGAGGCTGAGGCCTTCATAAGAACATCAGAAGAGCCCTGCTGGATCAGACCAGTGGTCCATCTAGTCTAGCATCCTGTCTCACAGAGTGTCCAGTCAGTTCATCTGGAGGGCCAACAACAGGGCAGAGAGGCCGAGGCCTTCATAAGAACATCAAAAGAGCCCTGCTGGATCAGACCATCTAGTCCAGCCTCCTGTCTCCCACAGTGGCCAGTCAGTTCATCTGGAGGGCCAACAACAGGGCAGAGAGAGGCCGAGGCCTTCATAAGAACATCAAAAGAGCCCTGCTGGATCAGACCAGAGGTCCATCTAGTCTAGCATCCTGTCTCACAGAGTGTCCAGTCAGTTCATCTGGAGGGCCAACAACAGGGCAGAGAGGCCGAGGTTTTCAGAAGAACATCAGAAGACCAGAGGTTCCTCTAGTCCAGCATCCCGTCTCCAACAGTGGTCGTCCCCTTCCTCCAGAGGGCCAACAACAGGGCAGAGAGGCCTGGTGCGAAGGTAGCAGACATTACCCGTGTTGTAGATAGGCTGGTAGATAGTGCTGGGGAGGAGCCAGTGGTCGTGGTGCATGTCGGCACCAACCATGTGGGGAAATGCAGTTGTGAGGTCCTGGAGGAGAAATTTAGGCTGCTGGGCAGGAAACTTAGGTCCAGGACCTCCAAAGTAGCCTTCTCAGATGTGCTACCTGTTCCACGCACAGGGCCAGAGAGACAGGCACAGATCAGGAGTCTCAATGCGTGGATGAGACGATGGTGTAGGGGGAAAGGGTTCAAGTTTGTTAGGCACAGCTGGACCTCCTGAAGGCACCTGGTATTTTTGGCCACTGCGTGACAGAGTGTTGGACTGGAGGGGCCATTGGCCTGATCCAACACTGGCTTCTCTTATGTTCTTATAAGAGGGAATTGGATAAGTATATGGAGCAGAGGTCCATCAGTGGCTATTAGCCACAAGGTATAGACAGGAACTCTCGGTCTGGGGCAAGGGATGCTCTGTATTCTTGGTGCCTGGGGTGGCAACAGTGGGAGGGCTTCTAGTGTCCTGGCCCCACTGCTGGACCTCCTGATGGCACCTGGTATTTTTGGCCACTGTGTGACACAGAGTGTTGGACTGGATGGGCCATTGGCCTGATCCAACACTGGCTTCTCTTATGTTCTTATATTCTAACTCTTCTTCTTCCACATGTGGTCTACCGCTAGGTGAAGTACCTTCCCAAATATCAGTCAATCAATTTTTTTCCCCCCCCCCCCCGTTTTCTGCCAACCCTGCCCTTTGGGGAGAATGTCCCGTTCTCTTTTTGGCTTCAGGCGCACAGTGAAGATCCTTGTGCTGTGGAGGCAACCGCTGCTTTTAAGAATCTGCACAGGCGGTCAAACCTCCATTTCCAAAAAGGCAGCCCCAGTCAGAAATTCTTCCCCCAGCTCCTTGCAAAAGATTTTACCATCTCTCCTCGGGGACGGCTGGCATAACTCACCCGTGGCCTTGCCACTCCTGAGTAATGCCACCCTCCCGTATCCCTGCCCGTAAAACCTTTATCTCCCGGCACACCATCAAGCATTCGCTTTTATGTCGCTAAATAAAACGGCATCGTTCGGCTCTAGAAACGCAGCTGGGAGAAGGTGGGAGGAGCCGGGCATGCCTCCGAGCCGCAGTGGGGAAATCTGTGGGTGGCTCGCAGACGCCAGGATTTTTGTAATTCGGGGGGGGGGGCTTTCAATACGTCAGGGGGCACTGATGTCACAAAACAGAAAATAAAATTTGGTGTAGTAGAAGTAGAAGTTTGGTGTAGTGGTTAAGTGCGCGGACTCTAATCTGGGTTTGATTCCCCACGCCTCCACTTGCACCTGGCTGGATGACCTTGGGCAAGCCATAATTCTGATAAGAGCTGTCGTTGAAAAAGAGCAGTTTCTGTCAAGAGCTCTCTCAGCCCCACCTACCTCACAGGGTGTCTGTTGTGGGGAGGGGAAGGGAAAGGAGTTTGTAAGCCCCTCTGAGACACCTTTGGGTAGTGAAGGGCGGGGTATAAATCCAATCTCTTCTTCTTCTTCTTAAATGCGCGGACTCTAATCTGGGAGAACCGGGTTTGATTCCCCACTCCTCCACTTGCACCTGGCTGGATGACCTTGGGCAAGCCGTAGTTCTGAAAAGAGCTGTCCTTGAAAAACAGCCCTTTCTGTCAGAGCTCTCTCAGCCCCACCGACCTCACAGGGTGTCTGTCGTATGGAGGGGAAGGGAAAGGAGTTTGGAAGCTGCTCTGAGACTCTTTTGGGTAGTGAAGGGCGGGGTATAAATCCAGTCTCTTCTTATTTATTTATTTATCAAATTTATACCCCGCCCTCCCTGCAAGCAGGCTCAGGGCGGCTTCCTGCTTCCTAGTTTGATCTGATAAAAGAGCCCCTCTGGATAGGGACTAGGTGTTTGGGGTAGTGGTGAAGTGCGCAGACTCTAATCTGGGAGAACTGGGTTTGATTGCCCACTCTTCCATTTGTACCTGCTGGATGACCTTGGGCAAGCCGTAGTTCTTGAAAAAAAGCCATTTCTGTCAAGAGCTCTCTCAGCCCCACCTACCTCACAGGGTGTCTGTTGTGGGGAGGGGAAGGGAAAGGAGTTCGTAAGCCGCTCTGAGTCTCCCTTGGGTAGTGAAGGGTGAGGTATAAGACAGCCAGTTTAGTGTCGTTGTGAAGTGCGCGGACTCTAATCTGGGAGAACCGGGTTTGATTCCCCACTCCTCTACTTGCACCTGGCTAGATGGCTTGGGCAAATCATAGTTCTGATAAGAGCTGTTCTTGAAAAAGAGCAGTTTCTGTCAAGAGCTCTCTCAGCCCCACCCACCTCACAGGGTGTGTGTTTTGGGGAGGGGAAGGGAAAGGAGTTGCAGTCAGTTCTGACACAGAGCGTACGCACAGACGATCTGCCTTTACTGTCTCAATAAACTTTCTTTTTTTGTGCCCCCAAGGGGCAAAATTTATTTAAAGTTTTCATTATAACACAAACATACATAACGTACATACATATAAACACAAAACATATATGGGGTAATAATACCCTTTTTCATAGTGTGTCTCTAATCCTATAATACTATCTACTCATGAGTAACATGAGTAACGAAAAAGAAAAAAAATACTACATTAATTGCTATATATCTTATAATCCACTTATAATTATCTTAGAAGTCCCGTCTGTATCTGTACCTATATGCTATTATTCTTATTGTACCAATTGTAACATCTTGACCAAGTGTTTTGGAATGTGGAATCCCCGAAAGGGCTTTCAACAATAAAGTCAATTTGTCCATGTCTTGATAAACTTGAACCTTTCTGAAGGAGTGTTGTTGAGAACGGATTGCTGCGGGACTCTGACAGTGACCTTCTTCCTCCCCGCAGGTCGCCAGGTCTCAAGGGAGGGGCATCTTCCTCTTCCGGAAGCTCAAGGACGTGATTGACTGGAGGAAGGTGAGATGCCTCCATCTTCTCACCTCTCAGCCCACCCTAGAACTTGGCGGGGTGAGCATCAGCTGGAGGCTGGCGCCCCTCCCCCCCGGATCTCTGCTTGTCTTGGTAGGGGGGCTATGGTGCAGGTCGACCCACCTGAGGTTGGGGGTGGTGGTCATAATGCCTTACGGTCTTTTCTAGCCCCATAGCATGGCTTCCCCCAGGGAAATACAGACATTGCCAGTTTGGTGTCGTGGTTAAGGGAATGACTGCTCATCTCTAGACTACAGAGATGACTTTATCACAGCTCAGGTGGGGTGTTACCTGACGCTGCCACCACTCTGGTTCCGGGCTCCCTTGAGAAGGCCCAGAGCAGCCTCCCAAGACCTACAGACCTCCCTCATTTGGCCGAATAATAGGCGTGAGGACCAGGCAGAGTAAACAACAAATAAAAGGTTTATTTTTACAGGACAGCCCAATATGGGAAACAAACAGGGTGCAAGAACAATACGATAAGTGGCTGAAGGGAAAAGAAACCAAATGCCCTAACGCAACTAAACATACTGTCCCTAGCTCACTGTCTCATGTGCGCCTCAGTCTGCTCACCCTTCCTCTCATAATGAGGATCTCTTCCCTGTAGCAGCCTTCCTTCTGGCTCTGCTCTCTTGGAAGAAAGAACAACTCCTCTTCTGTACCAGCTCTTTTATTATAAGTCCCCTTTCTCTGTGATTGGCTAAAATTGGCGCCAAAACCTCTCAGAGGCTTCTGGGAGTTGTAGGCCTGGCCTCCTCCCACTGCTACTCAGGCTCCCTGGGCCTGCTAGGCCTTTGCTTGCACAGCCCAGATCATGACAGCCCCCCCACCAGACCAAATCATGGGGTCCATCCCTGGATCCCCATTGATGCAGTCTGCACTCGGGATTTGGGCTGTGCTTTGCCCTTTCAACTCATTCAACATTAACATATAAACACAGTAATAAGTATTAACAAATAAACCACAAATCAGAGAGAAAATGTATACAGTAAGGTGACTAATCATCACAACTTCTGCTAAGTTGGGCTATTTGGAGCCCCTTCCACCACTCCTGGTCTCCTTTGCCACAAAAGCTTCCACGATTTTTCAGTAGCAACTTGCATTTCTCGCTTGGAGAGGGCTTTTTTCACTTTACAGTTAAGTCCATTCACTTTATGTGGTCGAGCTGCCATAGCAGCATCTGCTTTCTCCATACAAGAATAGGTTACAAAACCAAACCCACGGGAACGTTTTGTGTGTGGGTTCCTCATTACCACACAGTCAGTGAGTGTGCCCCATGTTTCAAAGTGTTCTCTCAAACTATCATTGTTAGTTTCAGAACTTAGGCCACCAATAAATAGCTTCCTCAGCTGTTCTGGTTCCTTAGGATTCTGGCCCTGGGAAGGTCTTCTTCTCTTCTGGTCTTCGCATGCCATTTTGGGGAAATGTTCTGACTCAGTTGCTCCTTGTAACAGCCTGCCTGCCTCTCCTTCCGTGCAGTGCTGACCATTACCCCTATTTTGTCCTTCCTGCCACTGACGTACGTGTTCTGCCAGATCTTCCCGTACAAACATAGCCACAGGGGTGTGTTCATACACAGAACCTTCCACTGTCCACTCCACCCTTCATATTGGATAGGTATCCTGGCCACCGGGAGGGCAATCCCTTTGGCATCCTGCAGGCGCCGCACCCATCTTTCTTCACCCGGGATGAGAGACTTAAGATCCACAAGAGAGCGGTGGACGGTGGTCAACAGGGAGCCGGTGTCTCACCAGGCTGCAACACCACACCCGTCTACAGTGACTTCCTTACGGTGGTGCCAAGGAATACATTCTGCGTTGAACTCAGGAGGAGTGGGGTGGGGGCCCACTGGAAGCATATAGTATGAGGGGGTACGTGCCTTAGGGCAACCCCTTTCACCACACCTTACCAGACCCTTACTTGGTCTTGCAAGCACCTTCAGAAAATGGGGCTTCCTTAAGCCAAAAGAAAAACAATTTTTTCCTGCTAGTGCCAAATAGCACTCTGCCTCACCTGGGTCCAAAATTAGTCCATCCCACCACTACAGCCACCATGTCACGGCTCAGGTGGGGTGTCACCTGACGCTGCTACCACTCTGGATTTAGGATCTCTTGAGAAGGCCCAGAGCAGCCTCCCAAGACCTACAGACCTCCCTCATTTGGCCGAATAATAGGCCTGAGGACCAGGCAGAGTAAACAACAAATAAAAGGTTTATTTTTACAGGAGGTCAGCCCAATATGGGAAACAAACAAGGTGCAAGAACAATACAATAAGTAAGTGAAGGGAAAAGAAACCAAATGTCCCTAGCTCACTGTATCAAGTGGGGCACCCTTCCTCTCAGGATGAGGGTCTCTTCCCTGCAGCAGCCTTCCTTCTGGCTCTGCTCTCTTGGAAGAAAGAACAACTCCTCTTCTGTACCAGCTCTTTTATTATAAGTCCCCTTTCTCTGTGATTGGCTAAAATTGGGGCCAAAACCTCTCAGGCTTCTGGGAGTTGTAGGCCTGGCCTTCTCCCACTGCTACTCAGGCTCCCTGGGCCTGCTAGGCCTTTGCTTGTACAGTCCAGATCATGATAACTTCCCATGGAGAAAATGGATATTTTGGAGGGTGGACTCTATGACATTGTACCTCACTGAGGTCCCTGTCCTCTCCAGGGTCCACCCCCAAATTTTCCCAACCTGGATCTGGCAACCTTACGACCCCCAATCCCCTGCTGGTGGCCAGGGGGGACCTGGCAACCCTAGACTGCTGCTAGGCCTAGGGTTGCCAACTGCCAAGTGGGGCCTGGAGAACCCCCAGAATTACAACTGAATTCTAGACAGCAGAGATCTGTCTCCCTGGAGAAAATGGCTGCTTTGGATGGTGGACTCTGTGGTATTATATCCAGGTGAGGCCTCTCCCTTCATGCAGAGGGGACTTTGGGAAAGTATATAGGTGCCCCAGAATCCCACTGACAACTTGGATTTCAGTATGTAGATTAGATCTTGAAAAGGTTGAGCACACTCTTCCTACCTGTTTTTGCATCATGAGAGATCTATGTCCCATTATTCACAGTATCATGCTGACAGGGAAGACTGGCTGTAAAAGTAGGAAATGAACACTAAGTGGTGCAAAGCTTTGTACTGCAAATGTCTTAGATGTATTTTATGTAGTTCTTAGGAGCTGCGGTGGCTCAAGTGGTTAAGACACTGAACTGCAGGCTGTGGAAGGTCAGTAGTTCAGCAGTTCGAGACCCGGTGCCGCAAGACGGAGTGAGCTCCCGTCTCTAGTTCCAGCTTCTGCCAACCTAGCAGTTCAAAAGCAAGAAATTGAAAGTAGATAAATAGGTACCACTTTGGTGGGAAAGTAACAGCGTTTCGTGCGCCTTGGTGTTTAGTCATGCCGGCCACATGACCACGGAAAAGTCTTTGGACAGCGCTGGCTCTTCGGCTTTGAAACGGAGATGAGCACCGCAACCCTAGAGTCGGATTCAACTGGCTTTCGAGCAAGGGAACCTTTACCTTTTATGTAATTCTTACAGGATTGATAGGTCACTCTCGTGCTGTAGTCTGAGCACAACTTTGTGGTATTATTTTAAAAACATTCTTAGCTTCTTGGTATGGTGTGTTTGATAGAGTTCTTGAACTCAGTGGAGTTCTTGATATTGCTTAATCTGTGAGTTACTTTTTTGTTGCACTGTATTCATGCATTCAGTGTAGTCATGATTTTTTTTTCTAGACAGGTAACTTTATTAATCTGTTTGTTTCCATCTTAGTCCCTTTTGCATTGGAGGACAAAAGGTATACAAAACCAAAATGACCAGAGCACACAGTGTATACATTCTTTCTCATTTTTGTGATACAGGTCTTTCCTGTGCTCATTTGCTTTCTACAGATCCATCTAAAATATATCTACTTTTAAAGTTACATTTGTTCTATGATATTTAGCTGGAATTGGAGACTAAATTGTTATCAACCTATTTATGATAATTATATTAACTTCATAATTATAACATGGGTGAAGCATTAAAAAATCTTCAAACGTTGTATCTCAAATTTGTATTCCATCTTTCTTTCTGATGCTGCAGTACTGAATAGCAGTTAGCACTATACATTTTAAGTGGATTAATAGTTATATGGAGTATGCTGAGCCTATTGCCTATATATTTATAACCGTCATTAACAGCATTAAAGATGTACTCATAGGATATAGTTCACTTTAGCTTGGCACCCTATGTAACTGTTAATCCCTAGAAAAAGAATAACATTCTGTCAGGATTATATATCTGAAAGAGAGCTGAAATACAAACTGAGTTGTGGCTTCCGAAGGTGTTTTTAAAAAGTTGTCTCCATGTTACTTAGTGACAGCTAACTTTGCTATTGTGATATTGGCAGTGAGAGGAGAGCAAGAATAAAATGTTCAGGATTTCTTTCCCACTAAACATCATTTCTAGTTTCTTCAACCATCTTGCAAATCTTTTCTCACCAGATAAGTGTATGGTGCTAAGTGTCATTATTGTATAATAAAACACATTTGTATCTTCTTTTCTTTGTTTAAAGCCTGAGGTGGCAGCAACCCTGAAACGCACAGTGGAGGCTTTGTTGGAGAAAGGAGCCGTGGTGAGGAAGTTGGAAAACCTGGGAGAAAGGACCCTGCCGTATAAAATCTCAAAGCATAATCAACGACACACAAGAGGAGGGTATGAGTTACATAAGTCTCATATCTAGGGGACCCCCCCCCCTTTGTGCTGTTTTGTTAAGAAACAAATGCTTAAGGCTGCCATCCAAAAAAGTGCTCTTTGAATGTGCAGAAGAGCAGTGCATGCAGCTGGGGCTTTGATGTTGTCTCAGCAGCTGTTCCCACAGCGCAGGAGACAAGCTGGTCATTAATTGGAGCTGTATATGTGGCTCTCCTCTGCATGCCCATAGCGTTTCTTTGAGTGTGGTCTATGACTGAACACTGTTGCTATGGGCTTCTAATTGGAACTTGCAGAAAAAGTGGGGAGTAAATATTCCCAGTGGAAATATTTATTAATAAATATTAAGAAGTCAGCACAATTTAGAAATGTATGCCCTTTCATGTGTAAGAATCTAATGTTCCCTCTATTTGTTGTCTCTATGAATCAAGTGTTTCAATGATCGGAAAATTAGTTACCCACCCCCCCCCCTGTGCTATTTTTGGGCAGGAACGCACAGGAACGGAGTTCTGGCTGGCTCCTGAGTTGGCCACGCCCAGCAGGAACTCATTAGCATAATAGGCCACACCCAACAGCAGAAACTCATTAGGATTGGCTACATTAGGGGTGTGTGGCCTAACATGCAAAGGAGTTCCTGCTACAAAAAAAGGCCCTGGGTTTTGACAACAAACAAGGTAAGCAGAATAAAAAGCAAAAGGTGGGTGTGGCTGGATGACCACACTTCTCGTAACACAGGAGTTTGGCCTCATATGCTAATGACCTGTGCTGTCAGGGGTGTGGCCTAATATGCTAATGAGTTTATGCTGTTGGGTGTGGCCAATTATGCTAATTAGTTCCTACTGGGCTTTTTCTACAAAAAAAGCCCTGGGAGTTGGGAAGATTGTTCAGATTTATGAGCCAGTTTTAAAGCAATACAAACATAGAACCTTGATTTATTTGGTTTTCCCTAGCATTGTAAATGCAGTAGCGCAATCGTATTTCAGACTTGCTTTGGCAGTCTGTTCAGAGGGGTATCTTCCTTGTGCAGACCCTTGTTTTCACCTGGGGGGGCATTTTTTTGCACAATAGCCAGTGACTTCGGTAAGATGATGATGATGTTGATTTGGAATATTAGTTTATTCCCATTATAATAGCATATTTTGGCCTACTGTTTTAGTGATCTGTTTTTATTAAAGATGACACTGATGGAAAACAAAATAATAATATGTTCTAACCACTACACTAGCTACTTTTGAGGTAAATTATCTTCAACAAAACAAAATGTTCCACTCAGGGGTCATTTCGTAGAAAAAGAGCTAGGGGAACTCATTAGCATAACTCATTAGCATATGCCACACCCCCTGATATCAGGGGCCCGGCGGTGGACCTGCGAGGCCAGCGGGAGTGCGAGGAAGCCCTGCCAAGGCCCTCCCTGGCCCCAGGTAGGCAGGGGTGGGGAGAGGCGGGGAGGAAGCAACTTACCCTCCCTCTTCTCCTGCCTCCTCCTGGCTGAATGAGGGCCGGAAGCGGGGCGGCCGGAATCAGGGGGCGGGGCTTCGTCATGTGCCCCGCCCCCTGCACCTCACCCAGGGGAACTGCGTTCCCCCCGCGTTCCCCCTCGAAATGACCCCTGGTTCCACTTTGTCATGTTGAACATCAAAGTGTTTTAGAGGTGTGGTGAGAATGTACTACAAACTTCCCCTTTAATTTGCTTGTCATTAGGTTTTGCTGTTAAACTCCTTTAGAATACTTTTGGAAAGGAAACTGCCTTTCAGCAAGTATGGTGGAATGTAGCTAGGCAACCAACATTTAATAGATCCTGTATTTAATAATAAAAAATAACAAGCTGATATATTTAACTAGCAGTGTAACATAAAAATGTGTATAACTGGACGGAAAGCCTTTGCAGTTTATCATTTTTTTTTCCTCTGGCAGATATGTCAGAACATACTGTCATATAAACTGCAAAGTTGAGTCTTTAAACTGGTAACTTTAAATTGGTTCACATTTTTGGATTTTTTTTAGTGAAACATGTATCAACTTCATGTAGATCGCTAAAGAAAACATCCAGCATAGCTTAGATCTTTTTCGTGGTCTCTGTGCATCACACCTCTAGGATATAGTGTGCCTGCACCGACCCTGATTGGTAAACTTGAAAGCTAAAAGTTATTTTCGTGCCTGCTCCCAAGTCACGTGCAGGGGCTCCACTGTGCATGACTACAGGGAGGGGCACAATGATCCCTCCAGTTTTCTTCTGACAACTGTGCTGTTAGGACCTCCTACGCTCTGGTCAGGAACTCTCTCTTTTGGGCCTGTTTGGCTCTTCCTTCTCCTCGGACTTCCCGGTCTTCAACCTACAGAAATAAGTTTGCAAATTAGTGACTTTACCTAGAGTGCGGCCCTCCATGGGCCACCCTTCTCCAGCAGCCCCCCCCCCCAGCCTATGGCCAAACGATGGGGCTTCTTTAAGTGATGTTTGAAGTGTGGTAGTAAGATCGCACTCCCTGATGGACACTCCCTCTGCCTTCTGTGCATTGGGGGAACTCACCACGTGGACTCTTGTTTGCATTGCTCAAAGTTCTTGAAACCATTGAGAAAGAACAGAGCTGCGAGGCTTCGAACCGCTTTGCTGAAATCAGCACTCTCTTCCCCGATGGCGTCATCCCAGGAAGCATCAGGCCACGCCTCAGTGTTGACCCCAGCTTCGGCATCGACTGCTGCAATGTCTCTGACACCGGCTCCTACTGATGTCGATCAACTGGTGCTCAAACGCTCGGTCTCGACCAGTATTCCCTCTAAGCTGAGTTAGTGTGAGCTAGCTCACAGTTTTTTAGCCTCCGGCTCACACATTTTCATCTTCGCTCAGGAAGGAAGGCTCCAGAGCAAACTGATTTATGCAGTAGCCCAATCGCTCACTCACAACTTTGATGCCAGTAGCTCACAAAGTAGAATTTTTGCTCACAAGACTCCACAGCTTAGAGGGAACATCCCGACATCTAAGTCCGAAACCTACACCCCTGTTAAGAAACGCAGAAAGGGTAGGGACCTTAAACCTGTCAAGCAGAAGAAACACAAGAGAGACCATAGGTTCCCGCTTAAGGTTCCATCAACACCTCACCATGTACCAGAACCGTCCTCTGTGCCCCCGCCTAAGATGCTTGACTCACCAGTCCGTGGTTGACCACAGGGTGGAACATCCCCACCCATACTGTGTCTGATACAGCTCACGGACTCTGAGCAGTAAATGGACTTAATGGTCCCAATCCTCCAGTGTCAAGAGTCTCCACACTGATTGGGGAGGCCGCAACTTTACGCACCCCTCCCCCTGCCATGTGCCCATCGACGATCGGGATCGATCTCTGGGACTGCCTCTCCCACCTCCGGCCCCATGGGACCAACACCAATGGCAATTCCTATATGGAGCCTACCCACTGTCGGCCAGCATGCCTTGGCTTCTGCCTCACACACCGACAGAATGGGATTGGCAATCCATGTCCTCCTGCCTCTCTTGGTATCAAGAACTGAACCCAACCTCTGTTGATACCAATGGGCAAGTGAGCGCCCGTCTCTAGTCCCAGTTCCTGCCAACATAGCAGTTCGAAAGTTAGAAATTGCAAGTAGATGCACAGGTAGAGCTTCAAGGTAACAGTGTTCCATGCGCCTTGATGTCTCGTCATTCCGGTACAGCTTCAAGGTAACAGTGTTCCATGTGCCTTGATGTCTCGTCATTCTAGCCACATGACCACGAAGGAGTCTTCGGACAGTGCTGGTTCTTCGACTCGGAAACGGGGATGAGCACCGCCCCCTAGAGTTGTATTCGACTGGCTTAAATCTGAACCTTTCTGAAGGCTGTCGAACAAGGGCGTTCCACGCTGGGTTACCAATTGGGAACGGGCAGAGAGACCTGTATCTTCAATCTTGGCAAAGTGGGAAATCAGAGGCTTTAAGAAACCAGTCTTGGTGCAAACCTTTGCAACATT